AGGATGTGAAGTATGTATGCAGCAAAATGCCAGGAAAACCCCCAGCCCCTCCCTAACCAGCAGGGGCTGTAGAGTAAGCTGGACACAGGTTCAAATCCTGACTGTGTCACTTTCTAGTTGAAAAAGCCACCTATCTTTTGTGTGTGTGTGTGTGCGCGTGCGTGTTGGGGATTGAATCCAGGGCCTTGTGCATGCAAGGAAGCATCTACCAACTGAGCTATAGCCCCAGCCCAAAGCCACCTACCTTCTTTGGGACTATTTTTCATTTGTTCCGCAGGGAACATGATGATAGCAGAGGATGTCACCTGAGTGCTCTGCTGAGAAGCAGTCCTCCTGCCTGAGAAGCACAACAGGAAGTGTCACCCTCTTGACTTTGGGAGTCTAGAAATACTATGGACTGGTTTGGGACTGGGTAATTGGCATTGGGGTGACCCTCACCACCAGGCCTCAGCTCTCATACTGCATCCAACAGCCTTTTACAGTTTGAAAGACGGGTCAAAGGCAGGGAGTCTGGGCTACCCCGTCAAGACTCAGGGCCCCTTTTCTCCTCACTTACCAACCAAGCATAGTTTGCCTTTGTAATCCTGTTCCTACTGAAGGGGAGTCCATGACCCCAAGTTCCCCTTCCCACCTGCTAGTGCCCCAGAGCCCTACTCCCTGCCCTTCCCCCTCCCTTCTTACCATGTCACCTCCCCTCCATTCACTCCTCCAGCACCTGTTGAGCACCTCCCTGCACATGAGCAACTGAGGTTAATTATACAAGCTTTATTTATATGTGGCCCAGTGCCAGGCTTTGAGCTAAGTGCTTTATAAATATTATCTAATTTAATCCTTGCTGCAAGCCTGTGAGGTAGGTGTTATTAGGAGTAGTTAAGATTCTGAGAATTGGTCACTGGCCCACTGCCACAGATGAAGGTGGGACCTGAACCCATTCCATCTGACCTCAGGGCCTACCTCTTTCCAATATTGGACAGAAATTCTGAGCATATGCTGTTTGTGATCTACTTTAAAGCTCTGCAGAACTGACAGTGACATGGACATGTATGTTTCCAAGTTAACGTTTGCTTCTGTAATGCCCGTGCTGTGCATTGGGGATCTACAGGGATCTACATTCCGGTGGTGGTTATTAACATCTCAGGTATCCTAAGTAAGAATTCACTTGTGGGGGTGGTTAGTTAGAATGTAAAGCTATTCAACTGTTATCTAAATCTGCACTTAAAGGCGTAATTAATGAGCTTTAATCAATAAGGACATTAGGGGGGAAAAGTAATTGGTAAATGAGCACTATCAAGAAATATGTTTGTTTTACAACATGGTATGACATCTCCACTCTAGCACAAACAGGACTTGGAGTCGTACATAAGTCCAGAATTCTGCAGTGCCCTTTATCTCCTGCACAGGGTATCTATCACCTCATGCAGCTAGAAGACTGGTCAACCTTGACATCAAAACAGTATTACACTCCTCTCAGACTTAACTTATTATTCAAGGATAGTCGTTGGGCCCAAGGAGGAGAGCAGGAATTTCACAGAACCTAAAGGAAAGAGATTTATGATAGTTTTTATGCTTTCTGGCTAATAAATGCTGGTGCTTGTGAAGAATTTATTCTGATTTGCTTTCATCATAGGTTTTCACCATGGGAGGTTGGGGAGATGTAGTTCTAACCCTACCACAAAGAGCCTGAGCACCGTTAAACAGATAATGGCTTTGGCCAATTCACAGCCAGGTCAAATATGCTGGAATATCTGTCTCTAAAGTAAGGAAGAGGAAGCCCCATTAAAAAATCCTAAGATTCTGTCTAAAGACTCACTGGAGAGGCTATTCAGTGTAATTGTGAAAAGATTTGGGCTGGGCTGGAATTCCAGTGTGAGATGCAAAACCCCGATGTGCCTCTTGCCTCCTCATCTGTGAAGTGGCAATATTAATTGTATTTACTCATAAGGCAGGATGAGCAAATGAACCACTGAGAGTAAAGCACACTGAACCAGAGGAAGCCCTCAGTAAATGTTCACGACACCCTGCAGTGGAGGGGGCATAAGAACTGCTTTTCAGGAGGCACTCAGCATTAGGTGTCATTTTATTATTTACCATTTACCATTATTTACCATGTCAATCAACAAACAGATAGTGAGCATCCAATTACTAGAAGATATGAAAATAAAAGATTCACTGTAGACTGCTTCCTGTGATCTCCAGCCTCCACGAGCTCCCAGTCTAATATGTGAGTCAGACATGCAGACAATGACAACAATCCCCAGAGGTGATATCTGAGGTAGGTTTTAGAGAATGAATGAGAGTTAGGAAAACTGTGCTTTCACATAAGTGTATCATTCCCAACTTCCTTTGTTTCCCAAGATCAGGAATTGTGACTTTCTCTTATCAATAGCAGTTTTCCATGGAATAGATGCCCAATCTTGAGTACTTATGGATGAAGGAGGATTATGCTAAATAACAAGGAAGAAGAAATTTAAAAGTAATTTAAAAAAATCACCAGGGGCAAAAAGGAGGCTGGAAAGGGCAAAAGCCCCAGGAGTCTGAGGCAGGAAGTGCCAGCCTGCCTTTTCGTATGTTTGCTGGTTTGAACTCTAACAGGTCGTCATCTGGGATGCCCCAGCTGTGTTCAATTTCCAAACCTCTCCACTGACTTTCATGAGCTTTGACCTCTAACAGGTCAAATCTGAGAGGACTTTGTGTCCTTTCAATGTTGGGATGAAGTGAAGACAGTGGGCAACACAGCTCAGATCTGGGGCTTTTCTGAGGTTTATCCCAAGGAGTCCCTTCTAGACCTGCAGGGAGCAAACCAGGGGTGCAGTGTGGCAGGTGAGCCCAGGAGCAGGTTAATCACGTCTAGCACCATCCCAAGTGCTTTACCTGTACTGACTGGTACGTTCCTTAAAATAGCTCTGAGGTGGTACTGATGGAGTTCAGGAAATGCCACCCCAAAATATACGCTTTGATGTGCTGTTACTTTGACCTGAGGGCATTTGGGGAACAGCAGTGCAGGCAGGGGATCTCTGAGCTCCTCTGGCTGAAGATGACCCTCCACAAATGCCGTCCCCAGGGATCACAGGAGAGGAGTTGGTGCCATCTCAAACTTTATCACAGATCATTCTTCTGAGGGCCTGTGCATCTTTCCCCAAAATCATTTACTCTCCCCTAAACTGCCAATACCCACCCTCTTTCATGAAAAGAACATATTGGAGATATTCACTTTTCTTTCAAGTGATATCCTCATTCATGTAATAAATTTGTATATCTTCCCTCCTGTTAATCTGCCAGCTGTTAGTTCATTCCATAGACTGGAATTATCAGACCCTCAGAGGGTAGAGGGATGGTCTCCCCTCCCTACAAGGCCATTAAAATTCCTTTTTTCTTTCTTTTTTTTTTTTTGTGGTGTACTGAGGACTGAACCCAGGACCTTGTGCATGCAAGGCAAGCACTCTACCAACTGAGCTATGTCCCCAGCCCAAACATTCCTATTTTACAGATGAGAAACCGGAGGTTGATCATGTAATCACAAAGTCAAACAGTAGGTGGCAGAACTAGGATTCAAATACCACACCATAGGACCATGGGACTAACAGTAAGCCTTTCTGGAAGCAAGCAGATAAACCAAGTCTTATCACCACATGGGGGAAAGGTATATACTATATCTCTAACTGGGGGTTTCTGTGGGATGCTAGGTGTATTTGCTCCTCTTGCATCTTGAGTCTGCATGTAAGGCCCTTCTATCACGCCTTCTATAAAATGACTAAGTTCCTAATAAAAAGAAATGCCTCTCACTACAACTGGTGCCAACCCTCGTCTCTAAGTGCCAGTGGCCTCTTGGCTTTTCCCACCAACTTTTCTGGATGGCTCTAAGCAGACGAACCACCCAGACTGCTGCAAATGTTACTTGGGGCAGAGCACGTGCCAGGAGCAACAGGAAAGAGAGGCCCACCCTCATTGCAGCTGGAACTTTCCTAAGTAAATCCATCCTCCAAAATAAGTTAATTATTCCTACCCAGGATTCTTACGAAGCCTGCAATTGCCAAGTACTTCAAGATCAATTTCATGAGCATTTCCCCGTTCCCGTCTATAAAATTGTATTGGCCATCTTACAAAGTGTTTTGGTGACTTGCACGAGGGTGGGGTTGCAGGTACTCAGAGGCAGCCTCGAGGTTCAAAACCACTCACTCAGCCCCAGTGCGCCAAATCATCAGACTGGCTGGCAAATAGTACCCACTTACATTTTCGTTTCTCATTTGCCAGAAGATTTCAAAGGACTGTGGATATTACGACATTTTTGTTAGGACTGAAAGGGGTGTCGGCCAACTTTTTAACCCTTAAGAATCCAAAACAGGCCAGACAGTTGATGAAACAAAAGAAACAGGACAGAATGTTCTGAACCCTAAATTCCTCATGACCACAAAAAAAGTTGGAACACCAAAAGTTGTCTAAAAGAGTGTGAGGCTTGGAAGTCATGGAGATGCAGGCCTAACCCACCACTTACTAAGTGGTATGAATGTGGACAAATTACCTTACCTCATTAAGCCAACGCTCCTCATCTACAATGAAGATATCAATATCCTTCCAGGTCTGCTATTGATACATATGGGCTAATTTATAAGAAAGTGTCCTCTAGGTGGAGGAATTCCAAACCATCACTCCTATATCTGATGCAATCTGCAGAACCTTGGACCTTCTCAAGGGCTGATTATAAGAAATGCACAAGAAAATGTGGGCAAAACTAGGCAGCCATTAGATTTACTTTAAATGTCACTCCTTATATTTAGTCTGTTTTCTGCTACTATAACACATTGTCTGAGTCTTGGTATTTTATAAAGATGTTTATTCAACTCACAATTTTGCTGGCTGAAAATCCAGGACTGAGTGATGGGGGGCCCCATCATTTCAGCCTCTGTTGAGGACCTCAAAACAGATAGCATCACAGTGGCAACTATTGATGCAGGAGAGATGACATGATGAGAAGCCAAGCCAGAGAGATTCAAGAACAGGCTTGCTCTTTTTATAACAGCCATCTCCCGTGGGATCTAACCAGGGTCCCATAAGAACGACATTAATCTGTTCCCAGGATAGAACCCCCAGTGACTTACACCTTCCATTAGGCCCCACCCCTTAAAGGGGCCCATCACATCACAACAGTGCTGAACTGAGGACAAAGCTTCCAGCACAACTTCTGGGGGACACACTTGAACTATATTCAACTCATAGCTCTCACGGAGTGATTCCTGATCCTCGGGTTACGCCCTGCTACAAAATGTTCCCAGGGCCTACTGCACAGATCTCCTTGATAAATGCATGTACTTGTTTCATTTGAAAATCCTCGCACTCAGCACCAGCCTTCCCTGCAGACTGCAGTTCCATGAAGGCAGGACCTGATTTTCTCACAGTTATCTGCGATGGGCCCATATTTCAGCACACAGCAAACTCTTGCTGAATAAGTGAAAGCATGTGACAAAGGCGGTGTGTGAACAAGGGGACCTCTCGTCATTTCCCTATGCTCCGAAGTAGGTTCATTCCTCCACCCACCCCTTCCTGTTTAGGCCTATCCATGACCACTAAACCTTAGGTTGAAGAGAGATACTGAAAGCCTTCTCTCTTATTTTTTAACTTGTTTATTCTTATTTTTAATTGTAAATAACTCATAAGGGTATCATTTATCCATCCAATCAGTGTTTGCTAAATGCCTTATGTATACGGGGCACTTTGCTAGAAAATAGAGGTGTCATCATTAGCAGAGAGGAGTTCACCTTTGAGTTGGGGGAGATAAATCATTTATTTTTTAAAAAAGAAAATTTAGGTAGTGATGAGTACACAAAGAAAATTAAGAAGGGAATTATTCAACAAAGAAGTTGGGAGCCTGTCTAAAGAACAAGAAATTTCCAGCCATCTTGGCCAAATGCATTCAAGGAACAAAAAAAAAAAAAAAAAAAGATCACCATTGCTGAAACACCATAAGCCAGAGGAGGACAAGAGGCATCTTCTGAAAGTGGGGAAGTAGACAGAAGCCAGATCAGGTGGCAGTTTATAGGGTAAGAGCTACAGATAGATTCTCAGTGCACTAGGAAAGCACTGGAAAGTTTGTAAGGGAAGGAATAAGGAATAGTAGCTCTGGGCTAATTATTAAGCCCGATGGTCACCAACAGTGGTCACCACCTGGATATAGCGGTTTATGGTGTCAAGCAGGAGTAAAATGCAGAAGACCAGCTGGGAGCCTAGTTCAGTAATTAGGCTGGAGACAGACTGGTTTGGACTAAGGCGGTAGCTGGACACAGGCATCATGTAGAGGTAAAGTGGCAGAGTTTGTTGATGGATTGTGAGAGAATAAGGCAAGGGACAAATCAAGGATAATATATACTCCTGAAGAAAGTAAGTGACAACGATCCTCTGACTGTGTTCATGCTGTGGATCTGGCAGCACTGGCTTCATTAATCCCGACAACTCTGATAGGGGAAAACTGGCATTATCCCAGAGATCAAGAAACTAGCCCATGCCCAAGACCTCTTGTCCCCAACACTATTGAACTTCTCAAGATGCCACAGGGCCTGGGCCTCTATTCCAGTGGGCACTGCAGTAAGCCTTCTGGGGATCCCAGCACTCTGTCTGTAAATTGCACACTCTCTGAGCTAAGCAGGGTTGCAGCCCCATGCTGGGAAGCTCAGAGGCTGGTGTCACAGGCAATCTGTTTTCCATCAGTCACCCAGGGTTATTTCAGCCCCGTGATCTCATATGCCCTGTGACATGATGAGATGTGACAGGACCAGCCAAGGAGGCCTTACCAGCAGCAGAGGAAATTGGCAATTGTTTTCATTATTATTATTATTGATTTCAAGTAGCTCTTTTCCTCTGAAGGCCACTGCTAATTTCAAAGCCCAATGGTCAGAGACTGGTTGCCACCTGGATATAGAGGTTTATGGGAACAAGTATGAGTGCTGGGGCTGGGGAGACCTGGAGGTGTTGGGTTGTGTTAACCTCTATGACAAGTTTTCTCTTCTCTACAATGTGGGCAACAAAACCACTGACTCATAGGACTATGTGTAGGTTGTAAGGATGACCTGTGGGGGGGGGTTTAGCTCAAAACCCAGCAGAAGAAAACCATGCAATAAAACCCATCCTTGCCAGGCATGGTAGCACACACCTGTAATCCCATTGACCTGTAATCTCAAGTGAGAGGCTGAGGCAGGAGGATCAAAGCCAGCCTCAGCAAAAGCGAGGTTCTAAGTAACTCAGTGAGACCCTGTCTCTAAATAAATTACAAAATAGGGCTGGGATATGGTTGAGTGCCCCTGGATTCAATCTCCAGTACAAAAAAAAAAAAGCCCCTCCTCATTATTCTCATTGTCACAAACAAGAACAAGCCTACCATCTTGAGTCCCAGCTCTCCTCTATGCCTCGGAGAGGTAAGCTGTAGAACTCTTCATGAAATTCTGAGGACTTGAAATTCAAAGACTTCTGAAATAATTCCCCATTTCCACTGCACAGAAATGGGTGCAGTGGCGGAACTTCTGGCTTCACCCTCTTCTACCCCTGGATGGACGTGCCAAGAGAACTGCTCACCAGATGCCCAAGGCTGCTAAACTGATAGCCTTGTGAAAGGAAAGTCAGCACATTTTTGGAGCTACCAAGTGGAAAAGGCTTCCTTCCCCCTTACAAGGAGGAGCAAAAGGAAACCCTGGGCAAAGGGAGGAGTCCAAGCTTCAGGTGCCTCATCTGTGAAGCTGGAACAATGCTTTCCTCCTGGTGTCTCGTGAAGATCTAGTAAAATAACTCACACAGAATGCTCAATAAATATTAACTCCCTTCTATGTCCCCCAGCCCAGAGACCTCCTTTATTCTTTCTTTTTTTTTTCAGGGAGCGGGGTGTTGGGGATCAAACCCAGGGCCCCACACATGCCAGACAAGCACTCTACCACTGACCTCCCCCCCCATCCTCCTTTATTCTTAATAGTGCAGTGAAGGAAGACAAGCTGTGAAAACTCCAGGGGTTTTCAATGGATCAAGCAGAGGCTGAGGGGGCCCATTCTGGAAAGGCACACAGCCAGCTTCTCAGAGGAGACACACATCTTGTGAGTACTAAATGCCCTGGGAGACAGCTTCCAAGAGGCTTCAACCAAAGCCCATACTCCTAAGACACACACCACACACACACACTCTCTCTCTCTCTCTCTCTCTCTCTCTCTCTCTCTCTCTCTCTCTCTCTCTCTCTCTCTCCTGGCTATTGCTGAAGACACTGATTTTTTTTAAAGAGTGAAAATATACTTTTGTTGTACTCCTTTGGTTTTCCCATGAACTGCTACACACTTGAACTAGCCTTAAGGGCCCTGAACTAGCCTTAGAGGCCCTGAAGTAAGCAGGGCAGATGTTACTAGTCTGTTTTACTGGAATCCACTGGAATAAGAGAAGGAAACTGAGACACAGACAGCCCCAGTGATTTATCTAGAGTCATTTAGCAAGTCTGCAAATGAGCCCTGGTCTCTAGCCTACCAGTTTCTCTTCTACCCCTTATAAGTCACATTCCTAGGAGGACAGCTGATATTCTTCCTTTAATTTTAAGATATGTTAGGAGTTATAAACCATGCCATTGGGCCTTGAGGGTCCAGTCTCTTAGATCCTACAGGTGTGCACAGTAGTGACAACAATACCAAGAATCATGCTAAGCTTGGCCCTGGGGCCAAACCTGCGTCCTCTTCTGGTGTGTAAGTGACCATATCTTCTAGCCCTCATTCTTCTGGTGCTTTCTTTTCCATTTACTTGTTTCACTAAAACCTTACTACTTCAAGAGGTCACTGAATGCACAGAGTCACCAATCCCTGGGAGAGTTAGAAATGCAGACTCTCAGGCTCCACTGCCCTTCTAAATCAGAATCTGCAGGTGACTCACATTAAAGTCAATAAAGCACTGGCCTCAAGAATTCACAATGTATTGAATAGTCAATTCAGAATATGGAATATTGATAAAATATCTACTGTGTTGGCAGTTAGGTGATGATTCTTGGGTTATTTCAATCTTCAATTGTCCATTCACAGATTTTGCCAACACTTAGTCCAACACATAGTAGGGACTCAATAAATATTAGTAGAAGGAACAGATGGTGAATTATTTAATAGGTGAGTGTGTTCATAAGGCCTGGACATCTCCTTTGCTTCTACTTACCGCTCCTCTCTTTTGGAAAACTAAATGAATTTATTAGTGGAAAGGATGAAAAACAGTGCCTGACACACAGTAAGTGCTCAACGAGGACCAAGTATCCTTATCAATGGGCCATGGAGGCAGCTACAACCATCACAGACCACTTTGGCTTTGGGAAGAAATATGTAACCCAGGTCACCTTGCAGCTCTGTGGGAATGTCACTTGGTTGAAGGAATACAACCCTATCTTGGAAGAAACAGACACTCCGGAGCATACTTTGTAATGCATGGAGAAATTATTCCAGTGGATTCCAGGGAAATGATTAAGTGTCCAGGAGAGGTGAGCTGACAGATTATCAGTGTTGGTATGTAAACTATGTTTGGCATAGTACTGAAAAGCAAAGTACTTCCTCCTATCTGGGTCTGCCTCTCGTCTTACTTTTGATATGAAGATAAGAGAGCCTGGAGTAATGAATTATGGTGGTGGAGAAGGGTGTGATGGACAGGCCCGCTCCATCCAGTCGGACAGACACTTCTGGTTCAAAGGGAGACTTAAATGTTAATGAGCCGCTCTTGCTAACCACTTCTCCCAAACGCCTTGCTCTTTCCCACCAGACCAGCTTTATTCTCGCCTGTGCCCACAACTGTAAGTGACTTCTATGGCCCTCTCTGTGCAGCCCTGCTTTAAAAATCAGCTAAATGCATCCCTCCCCCATCCCCAATGCTTCAGCCTGGAGCCTCTCCTTCCTCAGTTATCTGTCAACTAGGTAATTATTGTGATATTTAATGTTTTCTATTTAGTTTCCCAATTCACACTCAAATTTCCACCAGGGCAGAGACTGCATCTTCTGTTTTTTGGGCTCTCCTATAATGCCTAACAACTCCCCTTGCTCTGAATAACTGGTCAGCATATATGGATCTACCGAGTTGTTTTCATAAAGAGATGAAAGAAAGACGAGATTTCAGACAGACTTCCTATTACTTTTAACAAAATCACTGCATTTCTCTAACACCTAAGACGCAAAATCAGTTTTCAGTGTTTTAGACTACATTTGTTTTGCCTCCCCTAGACCTATACTTGGTAGTTGTTCTAAAGAGTTGAATCATCTCATTTTCTGCTCATTCCTATTATTGCCAGATCAATCATTAACCCAGCAGCATCCTTTGGAGCAAATTTTAAGTTATTTCACTGTGTATCACCAATATTTAGGGTAATAAGTACCAAAGACCATGCTAAACACTTTAGGTGCATTCATCATTACATCACCAAGATGACTTCAGTACTATGATAGTCTGATCCCCAAGTGGTCAGAGAAACAGTCTCAGGAGAGCAAGTTACTCAAGGTCACAGAGCTAGGACGTACTGGAACTTGTGTCTTGTCTTCCAAAATAACACAAGTGCTTACCCATTATGCTCTGCTGTCTCTTTCATTTATCTTTCTGAAACATTGAAAAGGTTACCTAATAAATTGATATTGGTCTGTTATCTAATGCCAAAAAAAAAAAAAAAAAGCCAATCAATGAACACTGTTAGTAGGAACATTCTACCTTTAGGGCAATTCAGCTCTGGCTATAAAACATACTCTCTCGGCTGATTTTTGGCATAAAATGTCAAGGACAAAATAAATTTTTTGCTGATTAAAAGAAAAACCTCACGGTGGCGGCTATTAAATTTTGCAGCTGAAGAAAGAGGGCATTCATTGGCATTGGCCCTGTCTGCTCCTTAATCATAATGCCTAAGCTCCTATTAGTTTTAGAAAAACAAAAAGTAATTTTTTCCTCCAATGTGTCAATATAATGCAGTCCTTCCCAAAACAATGTGAAATAAAAATGAGGCATTTTAAAAAATGCTTGAAGAGAACCAGTTCTACCCTTTGACCCTGTGCATGAGCCACCATTTCAAAGACGATTCAAAGCATTTTTGTTCTGTTATCAGCTCTCTATATTCCTGTCTTTTATAAGATGTTCCAGTTTTTTTTTTAATCTTCAAGATCTGCATTAACAATAGCTCATATCGACCTTTTAAGACTAACTGGTTTTATTTAAAATTCGTCTCTACAAAGATGAATGACTAACAATATTTCCTCATCTTGGTCATAGGCTCCTAGACAGAGCCCTGTCCCCAGATCTTGGGAGCGAGGTGAGGTCCCCAGACACTCCCCGGGGCCCGGGACTGACTGTGAAACTGTTCCACATGCTCAGCCTCACACCTCACTTCTTGTGTGGGCAGCATTTGGCCGTCTTTCTATTTACACAAACTCCCTAACGGTCTCTGGCACCACTGACGTCTCAGAGGGAGGCACAGTACACAGAGTGTTTCACAAGAAAATCTTTAAACAAAAGGAATTAAAGAAAATCCCTGTTTAATAGTAAGTTTTTACCAAGCTCCTAAATTCTCAAGAGCATGTGAAATATTAACTTTCCCCAAATGGGAGCACAGAGCTTCCTTGTTCCAGTTCAGACTGTTGGGTCACAAACGCTCTGGAGAGGAGCGGGCCTCATTCTGAAGAACCTACTGAGAGTCTTCAAAACTAGGGGCTGAGGAAGCACTGGCTCTGCACTCCTATGAGCCTGCGTTCCGGTCCTAGCTTCCACGCTCCCAAGCCTCAGGTATTTGGTCTATAAATCAAGGATCACAGTGTGATGACCTCATTGCTTTGTCATGAGATGTATAGAGCAGAAGGTGCCTATTCCTGACCAGCATCCCGTGTGTGGTGGGAGTGGCCGGAACACAGTCAGCCTTCTGCCATCCTGAGAGGCCCTTCTTCAGCAGAAGGTGCATAACTGTGAATCTCTAAGGCTCATTCCTACTGAGTCTTCTGTTGCCATCACCCAGAGCCATCCTGCATCTGGCTTGGTTTACCAGAGGGGCCAGGGCACCCAAGGAGAGACTGGCAAGGGCAGACACCAGGGGGCCCTGAGCCAGAGGCGGGGACAGGAGAGTGGTGGTGATTCCTGACTCAGGGAACAGCAGTTGCTGCCATTTCCTATGGCCAGGGCCCTCCCCACATGGTCCACAGATCCTTGTGCCAAATGTCTCTGTCTTCCTGGACAGTCAGCCCTAATGTCACTTCACATACTCCTTTTGAATAGGGCAAGATGTAGATTGAGTGAGTAAACATGATACAGTTGCATTGATGTCTACGAAACAACTGATTGAGCAGATTTGGGTCTATCAATCACCACACTCAAAAAAATGTGGCAAATTAAGTACATTTAGTGGATATTTAGTCCTATTTATGATACCCATTAAGTGAAAAACCATTTATTTTATAGCATAGAGAAAAAAATCAGAAAAGTATACATTAAAAAAAATCAAAAGTAGTTTTTTTGTTTGTTTTTTTTTTGTCGGATTACAACTGTTTATTTTCCCCACTCCTGTTGAATCTTATTTCTAATTTTCCTGTAATTCATTCAACAAGTCATTGATGGAACACTGAGTACCCTCCACCTGTCAGGCTTGTACGAGGTGGCAAGATTACAATGGCAGGTGAGGTGGACTTACTCTCAAGGAACCCACAGTCCCGTGAAAGAGGGAGACATCCATCAAGTAACCACATAGGTGCAATTATAATCTTGGACAAGAGCCACGGAGGGAGGATTCGGCACGATGACCAATGTAAGAGGGAATCTGATCTCTTTTGTTGTGGGGCTGGGTTTAGGTACAGAACCCCCAATAAGGTAACATACTACACTGATCTGGAAAGAACTGAAGGGTGGAGAGGAAAGGAGGAGAAGGACCCGCAAAGGCCCTGAGGCTGGACAGGGCACAGGAATGGTCCAGGAGTTGAAAGCAGGATGAGGTGGCTGCAGATAATGAGAGCCCCGACAAGAGAAGAAAAAGCAGGCAGGGATTTTGTAGAATTAACTGAGGGTTTCAGGACATCTTCTATAATAAGGTGGAAAGAGTTGACACAGGAGAGTAAAACTTTGGCAGTGAGCGCATCTTACTCCTGGCCAACTGTCCACTCCCTTCCCACTGTCCATGATGAAGAGCAGGCGGAAGCAGAGCTGGCAGAGGGGAGATCTTCAGGCTGGTCTGAGCACTCTTTTGTCTCTAGGGATTGCAACGGGTCCTGTTCGTGCACAGGAAAAGGTAAATTATACTGGCACATTGTTCAAAACTCTATTTTATCTCAAACCCTGGAACCAGTGCTTCAGAGAACAAATGGCAGGTGTATTTACATTAAACATGAAACTCATCATTCGATCCTGTGTTTGTGAAGCCCTGGGCCCTTTTATTCCCAGCTTCACTGGGGTTTTGTAGTCTGTTATCTCCTATTACCATGTTATTAGGTTTTTCCTCCTTCTCTACTTCTGCCCTCCCCCATCTTCCTTTCAAACTTTCTCCACAAGTATGTGCCACTTGGTTCTGCACCTATGTTGAGCCATGCTGAGAAGTGCCTGCCCTGGGGAATGCTCTTCCTGCCCCAGGGCACTGCTCAGGCTAAGAGGAAGCTGACAGTAATTTACAAGAATCTTTTCTTTAAATGGTCTCAGAGGCAGAGGATACTTCAGGAAAGAAAAAAGGATAGAAATTTTTATTTTTTCTAAGCTTTGGAAGCAGCATAAAGAGTAGTTCTGGAGATTAGGTGTGGGTTGGGAATAAAACAGCAGATCGTTCTAGACTGTGAGGACAATACAAAGACCATTCCAGAGTGTGTGGCAGAGGAAAGGTAGCCAGAAAGAGTCAGACTTCTGGGAAGAACACTGGGGTGGCCTAGGAGTCCACATATGTACTCTTAGGGAGGAGATCCCACGCTGTTCTTTAATAGGAGATACTGGTCTTCCTTGGGAAGACTAACCCATTAGTTGCAGGATGTTTAGAATATTTGGTTCAGGGAACAAAAAGTGCCAATAGAATACTTTTCACCCATATCCCACCTCTGCCCCATCATTTTGACCATCAAAAATGTTGGCTGGGAATGTGGCTCAGTAAGAGTCTGTGCTTAGCACATGTGAGGCCCTGGGTTGAATCTCTAAGAACAACAGCAACGACAAATTCCAAACCCAAGGAAGCAGCAGCACCCAAGTGAGGATCCCTAGAAGCACCATTCACCCTATATCCGGGCCTCTATCATGAAATTCCAAGGGCAGGAGGTAGTAAATGTTATGAGCTCTAAGTCTTCAACAGCAAGAGAAGTGACCAAGAGGGTCACACTCTCATTCTCTCCTAACCATATGCTTCCTGTACTCCCCAAGACCTTATTCATGTGGTTTCTTTAATTCCTGATTCTTCATCTCTGCTATAAAACCCTCCCAATTCCTCAAGATACAAGGGTGCATTTTCTTTCTCCAATTCATTTTTCATGTTTGGGAAATTTTTCTGATATTATTTCATTGAAGAGATTGTGCATTCCTTTGGTTTGAATCTCTGTACCTTCCTCTATCCCAATAAATCTTAGATTTGGTCTTTTGATGTTAGGGGAGGGCGTATGGGGGCAGGAAAGATGGTGAAATATGATGGACATTATTACCCTAGGTATATGTATGACTGCACATGTGATGTGACGCTATATCGTATACAGTCAGAGAGTTGAAAAGTTATGCTGCAATTGTGTACAATGAATCAAAATGCATTCTGCTGCCATATATACCTATTAGAATAAATAAATTTTTAAAAAGTAAAAAAAAATTAAGATAAAAATGAAGGAATTTAAAACAAAACAAAAAGATGCAAGGTGGTGCCCTCTCCACAAGGCCTCATTCTCTCTCTGAAGAAAATCATGGTTCTCCACACCTTGTTTAGGAACACCTTTCTTAGGGTCCTTATGCCACCCTATGCTGCACACAGCTGGCAGTGACTGCTGTACCCTGCCCCCCAGACTGGAAGGTGTGATGGCACCCTCCTGTCCACATTCTCCACAGACCCAGCTAGATGGTGCCAGGGATTAAGATGATAGAGTCAGAACTGGGTTTAAATTCCAACTTTGCCACTTGTTATTGAATGTGGCCTTGGGCAGCCCACTTCTTAACCTCTCTGAGACTTGGTTTCTTCATCTTTAAGAGGAAGATGACCATAATACCTACCTTCAAGTGGTTAGGAGGTTTGGGCAAGTGCCAGGTACAATGTATGAACAGTGATTCACCCTTGCACAGGTGCCCCCTATGATCCTGACAGTCTCCAGAGGCTAGCCAGACCCCATCTGCTTTCCTGAGCTGGAGCTGTTGTTCTAACAGTGCCCCGCAGCCCTAGCCACACAGAAGCAACTCAGGGCAAAGATTGGTTCTACCTGGGGAGAGATGGGGCAACATGGAGACAGGGGAGCAGATTTCAACCAACTTTTTGAAAGGGCTGATGTCACTGATCACTCCAGAGCTCCTTCTTGGTGGAGGATTTGGACCTTGACAAGCACAGAAGAGAGCTCCAAGGATCGGGTATACACAAAACATTTGGTGCTTGGCCAGGTGAATAGAATAATCTGGAAAGATAGATTGGAACCAGACTTTAAAAAAGGGCATGGAACTCTTTTCCGACCAAGACCCCTAGGTTCTCAGCTTTGCCAACAGTCTCTCTCTCTCCTCTTGATGTCTTCTGACACCTGGCATGAGCTGAGATATCGGGATAGCCACCATCTGAGCTAGCAGTGACCTGAAACACGGTCTAGTACGTCCTTTCTCCTGCCCACCCCTCTCCCCCAAAAAGGGACACTCACAACGAACCAGGTGGATGGGGTTTCTCCTAGGCTTGGCCACATTTGAACATTCTTTATGTCATCACAGCCTGTGGGTCTATACCTGAAATTTCACATATCATTCATCACAATTAAAAAGCCTGTTTCTAATAAAATATTTCCCTCTGTGCTTCACCTTCCTGAATACTTGAGTTCATTTCAGGGTTCTGATTATTCAGCCAGTGTTGAAAAGCAGAAAGTGACACTAGTGAACTCTAATAAATTTTTTTTTGTCTTAAAACTTTTTTTTTCAAAATGCCTATTTTTTTAAACACTAACACTGCTTCAAAAATTGAGCCATCCTCTCTGCACACCTAACCTACAGTTCCTGACACAGACAACATATGAATTCTCAGAAAAAAAAAAAAAAAAAACAACCCAGAGCCCTCCTCTTGAACCTCTACCTGCACTGCTAGGAAGGCTCCCAGGGTAAGGCTGGCATCTCCAGGACTGCCACAATATAGAGACTGTGACAGCGACAATACAGTGCTCAACACGTGTGAAGAGCCACTGGGAGCCGTCAGCAAGCAGCACCTTGGCCTTACCATCCTCCTGGGTTTCTTGTTGTCTTTCCCCTGCTCTTATCCAAACAGCCTGGACAGTTTGTTTATGGAGGGCTCTGGACCAGCCTCGCAGCAAGAAAAGTGATGACAGAATCACAGGGTGTTGTGGCCACACTGAGCCCAGCTAAGAAAATCTCAGGGGGAGGCAGCAGGACAAGCCAGGGATTGGCTTTCCATCCAAAATAAGCCTGTGAGGGAGGTGTAGCTGGTTGCCGGTCTTTGGCTTCAAGAGTACATGTTGAATGAATACCGACACAACCCTCGGAATCGTCACCAACCCGTAAGAGGCATTTAGGAGGGAGAAGCCACACTCTCCAAAACACACATCTACACCTAATTCTATTCCTTTCCTATCAAGGAACTTGTTTCTGAAGTTGAGTACAGGGATTAAACTTTTTTTTTTTTCTTGCAGCACCAGGCATTGAATCCAGGGCCTTGTGCCCACTGGGCAGCCCTCTACCACAAGCACTGCCGGCTAGAAGCAGAGCCAGAAGAGAGGTCCCAATGTCACAGGAGGGAGTAACTGGTTCAGGGATCAGGAAAAGCCACACAGAGGGGACAGAACTCAAAGGCCAACCAGACTTCAAGAGGCAAAGACTGAACTCAGCCTTCTCAGGAGAGAAGGTCAATGCCTGAGTCCCTGCATCCCCACGGACCTGTGGAGACAGCCCCCCTTTCTATCTTGTTTCCACCAAACCCCCAAGGAGCCCTCGTGAATACAGCCATGAGATGCAAACAAACTTCTCATCTTATTCACTGATTGTTCACATATACATTGTGTTTCTAGCATTTGCTCTTTGGATTTTGTTTTCCTTTTTGGCAGTGTAGGATCAAACCCAGGGCCACACATGCCAAGCATGTGTCAGATAATGACCCCATTATCTGACAACTCTACCACTGAGCTGCCCAATCCAGTCCTCCAGCCTTCCCTCTTTGGAATGTAGGCATCAGGGCAGCTCACTGTTCTTCACCATTCTTTATTCACTCAGCTGAAAAATTTATTCAGAGCTTAGGCCCTACCTGTGCATCCTCAAGAGACAACAAGAATCCCACATCCTGCATAATAAATTCAGGGCACTGGATTATGTAAGAGGTCAAGAGTCTCATCAAGAAAGCACATGCCTGTAATCCCAGCTACTCCGGAGGCTGAGGCAGAAGGCTCGCTTGAGCCTAGGAGTTAAAGGCTAGTGCAACCCCATCTCCAAAAACAGATGGAAAAATAAATAAATTTTTAAAATCATTAAGAGAACTTTAATCAGCCTTGAGAGGCCCTGCTCCCAGAGCCCTGCACCCTGAGACCAGTCCCCTTTTCTCCCTCTCCCACGCACTTTCAAGCCAGGAAGCACATATCAAAGTTCTTTCACATTAGAAAACAGGCCATATTTTATTCATTCATTCATTCATTCATTCATTCATTTTTTGCAGCATGCCAAACAATGCTGACAGATTGCTCAAACTTTTTGTTTCAAAATAAGCCCAAGAAGTGAGATGGAGGACAATCAACAAGTGCTGATCACTTTGGAGAATTTCCAACATATTTATTCCATTTTCTCCACAGTTTCATGTAGCAGTTATTCACACTGATCGACTTAAAAAAAAAAAAGAAAAAAGAAAGAAAGAAAATAAAAGAAAGTGGGAAAAAAGCCAACCCAGATGTGTACAGTGCCTCACCCTGAGAAAATGTGTGCAAACTTCAAAACTCCCTGCACTTGAAAGGCAGCAGGAAGATGAGGCTGAATGGAGAGGGGTTCATGGGTGAAAGTCTGTAACTGCAATAGGGGGTCAAATGGAGGGTAAAACAGCTAGGATGACCTGCATCCCACCCAAACCATAAAACTGAGGCTTTCAGACCTGCCTGCAGACATGCGGTTAGGAAGAGGGCCTACAAGGGACCCTTTAGCTCATCTATCATCAAATGGTATCTGAAGACAACACCAATCACGACTTTTCTGCATACACAGGCAGTTGTAATTAATAAAATCCATATTTTCACTAAAAATGAACTTTGTTTTCATATGTTGATAATAAATACAGTAGAATAAGCTCAGCTCAGTTTTCCACCTTGAAGGAAGGAGGGAGGGAGGAAACCTTGGGAAAAGTATATGTGTTAAACTTTTGGGGTGAGGGTCCCCAGGGTGGAAAACAGGTGGGGAAAAGAGAAGCAAGGTAGGAAAGGAGATAAAGCAAACCTGATAGTTACTGGGTCCTTGGGTCACAGCTGTATGGAAACTACCATGGACTGGGCAGCTGCCCCCACCCACTCTCCTCTGGTCAGGGTTCTCCCTGGGGCCTGAATTCCCTGAACTTGGCCCCTGAGGAGCGGCCAGTTGCCACCAATGGCACATCTTCATCTGACCTGGCCTGGTGGGAGAAACCAGGACTCCCATGGTAGCGCTTGGGGTTAGCCTGGTGCTGGCCCTGCGGGCTCCTCTCTGCACCATCAGCTGTACGGGTTGAGCTGGGGAAGGAAGCATATGAGGTGGTAGTAACCACAGCCAGCTTTTCCCCAGCAGGTGGCCAAGGACCCAAGAGGCAGGCAGGGTGAGCCTTTCTGGGTAGGTGCATAATCTGGTTCCCATACAACTATTTGGAGGCAACCTATAAAATTTTTTATTACTAAAGATGGATTATTTTATAGTATGGGGAAACAAAGGCCATTTTGTTAAATATACATTCATATAGCTATAAACATAAATAGAGGGGGAAAGTTATCACTGAAATAGAAACACTTTTGGAACCTTCTTTTTTGTGTATCAGTATTTTAGCTATATAATAAAATAATAAACTTTCATTTGCTCATGAAAAATAGGTCCTCATGTAAAAAGATAGAAATCACAGATCGGAGCTTGTGGCCGTGAAGGAATCAGCATTTCTATGTCCTATTTCTGAATGTGATCTCATCTTTGCTTTGTCTCTCCTCATTTATAAACACATGTTCTGGCACTTTTTCTAGGGAATTGCTTCAGTGGGGGAAACAAGTATTTGGGCTGCAAAATACCCAAGTATGACCCTATTATCTGACAACTTTTCAAAGTGATCTCAGCAAATCCAACCCTCAGTTTCCTCATCTGTAAATTGAGGGTGATGATAAGCCTGCTCCACAGAAGTGTTCTGAGGAACAAGCAACAATAAATATCAAAGTTAAAACTCAAAGTCCCATGACAGTAACCCATACCTTATAGAATATTATTGTAAAAGGAATTAGGAAAATCAGAAGAGTTTGAGATGCAGAAGAATGTAGATGCTTGGTTATGGAAAGATTTTTGGCTTCGTAGAGAAGTTTAAGGAGCAATTAAATAGATTTTCTTTCTCTTACTTTGGTACCAGAGCAAAGAGGACCAACCCTTAAAACTTGCTAGTGACCTGCCCGGGCCCCATGACAAGCACTGCCCAGATCTAGAACACATCTGTCACCCTTTGAATCATTAAGTCCATGGAAATCCATGAGTGGAGTGTTTCAAATTCTAGGAACTTCCTGATAAGAACTTAATTTGAACTTTGGCAACTCTGCCCACTGCTGGACACATAAAATACTCTTGGAGTAAAAGTAAGGGGGACTCAAAAGACCCGTCAAATTTTAGAACTAGAAATGATTGCAGCCTAAAACCTGACATTTATGCATAAGAACCAAAGAATAGCCACCCACAGTGTGACTTCGCCCCCCCCCCAATCCCAGTTTGTAACAAAGCTATTTTCTCTAAAACAAAATAATAATAGCTACCAATTGAGCATAATATGCTGGGCACACATCACAGGCACAACATAGTAGACTTCATTTCACCTTTAAGACAGCCCTGAGATGGGTATCAGCAGCTCCTTTACAGTGAGGGAAACTGAGGCTCAAAAGGCTTAAGCAACTTGCCTGAGGCTGCACCATGTTCAGCACTCTGTCACCAGAGTCCTATAGATTGCATCTCCAAGGACATCACCAAGCCACTCACAACCTGGACTATCCTATCTGTGAGATAGTAACTTGTTTCCAGGACAGTCAAGACTGAAAGTATCTGGGGACAAGAGTTGTGGAGAGTGCTGTTCATAAACTGAGCAGTTTTATAGTTTGCTTTTAAACAAGTCTTCCTTTATATTCTCCCCAAACTCCAGCCAATGAACCACAACTGAGAGCTCACTGATGGGCCAGCCATTCTGTTTTTTTCCAGGTCTTCTCTGAATTCAATTTTCATAACTTTTCTCTCCTGTTAGTGACTCTGAATAAAGAACACTTTTATTTTGCTGTGGGAAAATGTGTGGCTTTTCTTGACCAAATTAAAAAAAAAAAAAAAGGTTCATATGTAACCAAAAGAGGGTTTACTGCTTTTGTGCATACGCTTCCTCGGTGAGCAAAATGGAGAGTGTTATTCCAGAACCTTAAAATAAAACGAAAGCACATATGTTCTGCAAAAAGCATTGTTTGACAAGATCAAATTACCTCTAGGGAGGGAAGCGATTTCACTAACGGCCCTTGTCTTGCACATCTGAGTCTCCCCTGTGGCTCTAGCCAAGAGGGTGGGGTGCATGGGGTTAAACCCCACCCAGGTGCGGCTGGGTAATTACCCTCTGGACATTTACTAAAGGACTGACTGCCCGCTGAACCATAAGAAGGCACAGGAGGGGTTAAGGGAACCAACACAGCTGGATTTGCCTTTAAGAGCAATCCACAGAACAGCCTGAATAGCCACAAGCTGTGTGAGACTCCTGGAAAGGTCACTCTGAGGCATACATGACATGTCCTTTACAAACACACATGCATGCACTCGAGTCTTGATAGCACGTGCACTTCTGAGGTGAAACCAGATGTTTCCAAAACGATCCTTGCTTTCTACAAAAGAGGACACAGGAGGAATGACGGCCCCTGTAATCAATCCCAAGCATAGGTCTCAGGTTATCAGGACCTGCATCTGTGAGCCAGGGCATGTAGGAACAGGCAGCTCACTCCGAAATGCTCACATAGACCTGTGGTTTTTCATCAAGTTTCTTTCAGTGTGGACCCAGAAAAAGGCCGTGGAGCAATAGCATTTGCCAATCTCTGTTCTTCCCCATAACATGGGAGTTGCATTTCACCTGTGCTCACAAACCATCTACCAGAAACGACAGCAAGAATCTACAGAATCTAGATTATCCCGTTTATTCTAAATGGGAAGGTTTGGTTACATTTGGCCAAATCGAAAATCATTATGACATTCACTGGTATTCATAACCCTAACAATCTCAAATGCATTGTTTTATTTTGAATGTTAGAGAGTTAAATAACTCACTGATCTTATACTTTCAGGAATTAAGCTATAAATTATAATAACATTCTCTCATTTTTTATGAGACAATTTGGCTATGTCTATAACTTCGCAGTTCCTTTTCTTAAATTTTAAAGGATGCTTGTATTTTTACCCTCTTCTTCCCAAGGCCAAGTCAGAGTATGGACAAGATGGCATTTCCATAAGTCCCTCATGGTATACACTTTGCTGTGACCCAAATATCAAATCATCGCTAGATATCTCATGACAGCGTTTTCCATCCCAATTTGTCTAGCGGTTTCACACTGCGTTATTTCTAAATCTACATCCGCTTCCACACGCTATCTGTTAATTAATATAACCTTATATGTTCTTTGTTTCACTACCATTGTTGTTAGAAAATTGGTTCATTTTCTCCACTTACACAGGAACATATAATATGAAAAAAAAATGTTAATAAAATTCATAATCCCAGCACCTATTTTTTAAATCCTGTTAACATCATGGGTGTATAAAGAAAGATCTATACAAGGAAAAATATTT